AGGATGTGTCTTATCGACAGAATCAAGATCAGAAATCGAAATCAAAAATCAGTTTAAGTCCTGGAAGATGGAAGAGCCAACGAACATCTGCTGTTATTGGATGGAAAAACTTTCCACCTGTCCGTCGGAAGCATTTGCATGGAGACCGCACGGAATCTTCCTATGCTTAAACTCGAACTCAAATAAATGCAAAAACATTAAAATCGATGTCGACTTTTGCGAACAGCGCACGTGGCGGGCTATTGGGTGTGTAGGGGCCGGGTTTTTGTGCCGATTTGACACATCGAGGACCACGCCTTGGCATCTTGGCATGTGGAGGACACCCACCACTCACGCGCGAGCGGCAGTAAGCAGAGGAGACGATGTCACAGCCTGGGGCAAACGGTGACGGGCGGTACTACAACGCGTAGGTGTACCAGCTCCTCCGCTCGCGGCGCACGAAATTATCCCGGGTCTGAGGGGGATCGCCTTCGTCCATGAGCACCATTATCATCAGCAGCTCCAGGAGCTGTCTCGTGCGCTTTTTTGTCTTTCCTCGCAGCCATGAGCGGCGGCTGGCAGGAGCGCGAGCCATTCTTTTGGGATGCGGCGCGACGCTGCGGACGTCGTGTCACGGAACTGGCGGGCTGTTCGCCGCTTGAAGTGGGCGCTTCACCGTGTTTCTCAATTTCGATTTTGATTTTGGTGGTTTCTCGATAAGACACCGCGGGCGAATTTGGGCGACTCTTCAGGACTTAAACTGATTTTTGATTTCGATTTCTGATCTTGATTCTGTCGATAAGACACATCCTCAACAGGAACGTTGGTTGCCAGCTACTTTGCCAGACTCTCTGAAAGTCGGAGATGTCTTCATGACTCATCTGAGATGTCTTCATGACTCATCTTCTTACAGCCACCTACAGATAGCTTGGCGATGAAGCGATACCTCGGCAGGAAGCTGACATCTAGCGAAAGTACAGCATACATTCTTTAAGGAAGATCTGCTCTAGACTTTGTAAATTGGGAGAGAGACGAAGTCATGGCCGTGTCAGACCCGAGTAGTATTCGATCACACATTTCTCGCGAGTTCGCAGCGTGTATCGGTGCGAGACCAAGGTTTTCCAACCCGCCCTTGATCCGCCTGATAATCCCGATATCCGGCACTATTGCTCGCGGTGTGGGATGCCCTCTGACTCATGGTCATGGCGTGAATCATGGCAACGGACCCTTTTCAGGCGTTGCTCGTGTCACCACATGATGTTTTCCACAAGTAAGTTTCTTTCGATTCCGATGCATCGAAATCGATTCGATGATAGATTTGATCGCTGTCACCGACAATGATAACTCTTCTGTGTTTGGTGCCAACGGAATGACAAATCACCCTCTCATGCACCCAACGAACCAACGAACACACCACAAACTCGAACAGAATAGAATAGAAAGTACAATTTTTGCATTCTGCGGACAGTAGGCACCTCGGCGCCCACCCACCACACACCCTCCATCCTTCTCCTCCACCGTCAACAAGGAGCTCCCCGGCCAGCGATGAAGGTGAGCTCTCCATCTCTCTGGGTGAAATACGCTTGCGTGATGAGCAGCTGGGGACCAGTGACTATGCAAACGCCTCGCACATGCATACGCGTTCTTCTGTACATAGCCTACCGCAGACGCCTGCTGTTTGTTGTGGTTGTTGTTGTCCTCTGGGGAGATATCTGACTGAGTAAAACACAACCAACCGCCACAAACAAAATACCGTACGGGGTACTGTTCCAAGTGAACGGTTTTGACCGCAATGTCCCCTTCCTGTTAGCTTCCGTGACGCGCACGATGTTGCGTGCAAGCGTCGGCAGATGAGGTCGTTTCTCCGTGTTCTCATTCCCGCTTCTGTCGTACTCAACCCTACCTGTACATGTCTACCCTTAAGAAAAAATGAGCTCGCGTGTCCCGTTTGCCCGAAGGCAATGCGAACGGTTCTGAAGCACAGCCGAAACCCGCCACGGGATATCAACCAACTCTCAAATGCTGTCGCCGAAACATGCTCCCGCTGTCTTGTTCGCGCAGATGCACATTCCTACCGTGGTGGCTGCCACGTTGCTCCCCGCCGTTCTTGGTCGGGGAGCCATCCGAACCACTTCCCGCGAAGGACAAGTTGTTGCCATCCACGTGAGTTAAATACCCAGTGTATGGTATTCATACGCCTACTGAACAGAGCCCGGTTGCCAGCGCCTAGATCGCTTCCCTGTGCTGAGCTGTTTATCAATCCCACGCCTAACCAACCCTGGTACTTTTGGGCGTCTCTGTGCGCGCGAGTACGGAAGACGAAGGCAACTCACCACTTGGCTAAACCGACCACGATTCATCCGTTCCAAATCCCGAAAACAACGAAACTTCGACGTCAACACCAGTTCAGCGACTCTTGATTTCACAATCGCCGTTGAAGCCGCCCACCCTGCTCCCTGTCCCTCTGCCGGAACCAGCAGCGTCAGCTCCAATCGTCGTACGAGTACATTGACTGCTACGCGGACCAGGGGAAGGAGGGAGAAGGCCGGGCCATGGATGACGGGATCAGATCGAATGAAATGACTCCGGAGGTTAGTGGAAAATAGTTGTGCAAGGCAGCGGGGGAAGACCACTCGAGGGCATGGTACCACGTAGTAGCTGGAGAACAGACCTTGTTGTTCGCGCTATGCATACACATGAATCTGAATATATAGGCATTCGGCCTGTGGTTCGTCACAACAAGGCCAGCTCTTGTATATTTTTTGAAAACGTTTCCGACATTAGCAGCATGCGGGCAGTAAATCGTGAACCAAAACTACCGAGAGGAACGTAGCAGGTTTGGCTGCGTGCGCCAATGGCGATATGCATCGCTCTTTCTCTCCATTACTCTAACTAATGTTAAGGAGGACCCGGTTCGCAGAGTATCCGTCGATTGACTTTTACCTGAATCGGTACACCTTCGCATACGGCGTCAGCTGGATACTGGTTCAAATCTCCTCGGTTGCACACTTTTTCTCCTGACTTGGGTATTTTCCCAAGGACACAATGTTGTTTTGTTGTTGTTGTTGTTGTTTCTCACATTAGCTCTATAGTCCACAAAAAATGGGGAGCCCGTGGTCTCAAAACCCGGCACATACGACGCCGCGAGAAAACAAAAAACAAAAATAGGATACAAACCACTCGGAAAAAGAAAACAAAATGATCGAAAGAAAGAAAAGAACAGGTATCGCACCTACTGTTCGAGAAAAGAGCCCTCGGACACCGATCAAAATAAAACAAAACAAAAATAACAAAAAAAAAAAATAAAGGAGGACGCTTCCCACACCCGCCGAAAGAAAAAATGAAAGGGTAACGTAACGTACCAGCACCAGGCACTGCGCACCAGGGCATGGGAGTAACGGAGCAAACAGGGCAAAGAGGCGGCAGATGGGCAGACAGCCAGCCGTACAAAAAAACAAAGGCAACAGCAAAGCGAGATCAAGGTACCCAACACAGCAGAGCAGGCAGGGAGGTCATGAAAAAAAAAAAGAAACACAGCACAGAGGCCGAAGGCAATACAAGGACATACATAAAGGAGTATAGCATACGGCTGTGTGTCAGTCCTGAGAACACCTCTTGGAGTCGATCCTACAAAGAACCTTGTGACACTTCCATCGAATTACCCATCCTGACCACAAGAGGTTCCCAGTTGAGGGTAAATTCTGTGGGTGGAGAGTGTTAAGGAGGACCCGATTCGCAGGGTATCCGTCGATTGACTTTTACCTGAATCGGTACACCTTCGCACTAATCCATCTCCCCTCCCCTCGCCAAACATATGCAAAAAATGGACGCATGTCTCCCTATATCTTGACTAATGTGGGTATCCTGGTGAATATGTACTGTAGTACTATTTCGAAGTACAGTATAGTTGTTCGCTAAAATTACAGTGGTAGCATGTTGTGGGTTCGAGTTTCTCTCCTTGGAATGAACACTTTGGAATTCTGTGGAGTGGTGTCCATCTCGGGGTTTGGATGGGCCCGATGTTTTCTCTATGTGCACAAGAGTGCATCCAGCCCAAACTCCACTACTGCCGAGTAATGCGTGATCGACGTTCGATGAATCACTGCCCTTCACGTTGTTTGCTACTGCACTTAACGGGCACATGCTGAACGTCAATCATTGATGTAATGACGCCTGGCCCGCCCTTCGATTTTTCCGTGTCGTGCAGTTGTGCTACAACCACTGCTCCAGCAACGGCTACGACTTCATGGGCCTGCAGTACGGACGCGAATGTTACTGCGGGACCGAAAAGGAGGAGCAACGGCACGTGCAGTACGGAAAGGGCACTTGCGATTCCCCCTGCCAAGGCGATGACAGCCTGATTTGCGGTGCGTTGCACGGCAGGCCTTCCACTGAATGCATGAAACCAGTATGACACTTCACTCAACCCTACAAGCGAAAGTTTGACCGGCCCTGATCATTTTTCACCAAGAGTGGCCTTAGACGTGCTTCCAATGTTTCTTTTCGATCCCATCCGTGCTAAAAGTGCAGGGCCATTGACGCTGCGTAGCTGTTTCTGACCGGTTAGGACAAGGACTCAGGGTTATTCAAATGGCTGTTGGTTGGGTCTACCGTAAAAAGTTCAGGTTACAGAATGGTGCTTCCAGCAGTCGCAGTCCCTCGTCTTGCACTGTTTTTCAAGCGCACGGACAACTCGTTTTTCAAAATGTTGGCCGCCGCACTACAGGAAATGTTCGGCCATGACGATCCGGAGAAAACGACATGTTGTATTCTTCACTACTTTAAGATGTTAATCATACCTTGGGCGTGTTCATTGGTTGGTGGTCTCTACGTTATCCTTCCGCCGGTTCTGTTTGAAACGCCGTCCACCTTCAACTGCCGCCATGAAATTCTCACATCTTTGCGTGCTGCCCCCCCCCCCACCAATACAACTGTACGTTCGAAACACACAGGAGGGTTCTGGTCGTTCGATCTCTACTACATCGGGGAGACTGAGCCGGCAGCTGGTGACCAGGGCGTCGGTGACTCTTCCGAGAAGAAGATCTTGCTAGACGTTCACAACGAGGCTAGGTTAGTACCAGTGACAGCAATCGTCGCGTTTTTTTGTTTCGATGAGTTGATGGGAAGCGTGTTGGACATGTACTGACACTGTTTTCTCTAGTGTTCGAAGCTTCTCCCGAAGAAACACCGTCTCGACGAAACACCTTCTTCCTTTAATCTGAATCCGGCGAAACACGAAACGTGCCGACTTCGACAGGTGCGTGCACGGCGCGGAGCCCTTGGCATGGGACGAAACCATGGAGGAGACTGCCAGGGTAAGTCCAACATCGCTACCGCCCCCCCCTGGAAACGAAGCTCGGATTGTCATGGCCTGCGCGAGGGTGATAGCGGACGTCTGTCAGCTGATCTTGCCGGAACACGCCGGCGCTGATTTCTCGTCGTAATCCCCCTCTCATACCCGTTGATTGTCAAGCCCCCTCGCTAATATGAGCGTGATGTCTGATAGATGGGGCTTACGCTGGTGGCCCCGTCCTGGGAACAGCAGAGTGTTGGAAAGTTGCGACATAATGCAGAATCGATGCACGTGCCGGCAACTACACGGACACAAGAATTTTGGTGGGTTGACAATCGTTATTGAGATCTCGCCGCTAGGGGATCAAGAAGTATCACACGTACCGCAACCCTAGGTTTCGTCCCTATCGTACTGTCGCCGAACCCCATCCCTCCTCGCGATGATTCTGTCGGTCGTTTCCTCCACCCAACGCCACAGGGTCACGCAGAGGAGCTCACCTCGCAGGAAAATTGCGGCTATTTATTCCAGAGCGACGTGACAGCGCACGGTTACGGCGAAAACCTGTTCCTGTGCTACGGCGCGGCTGACTGCATGATGTACGACGGCGTCCTGGACTCCATGTGTGAGTGCCGTGACTTTCGTCGGGATGTAAGAAAAAAAGGGGCAGCCGCTGTCGTCATGTGATTTCCGGATCGACCTTGCGTTTCGAACGAAAACTATGTATACGGAGCTCGAAAGCGTGCGAAAATATCGAACAAATACGAGCAACGAGATGCATAATCCCGTCTTCCAACACTTGTTCCTCTTCCCTCAGCGTATTTGGTTGAGCTAGGGTCAACATGCGCTTCCCCTCCTTGCCCCCCGCCCAGATTTTCTTTCTCCGTCTGAATACGTACCTCTTTAGGTTGGACGTGATTGATTCCTCACGAACAGGTATTGCAAAACGTATCGATCATGTCCATTTTTAGGTTCTCCTCGAGGGCTATCACAACAATGGCCATTCTGAGAAGATCATGTCTCACCAGCTGCTTCCATCTGGCGCTTTGCTCTGGTTGGAAATTGAATTCCCCGCAGACGACTATGCAGTCGACGACGGTCCGGTAGTCGACTACGACATTCGTGCTAGGCGCATGCTGTGGGCGTCCACAGCCAAACTCGGATGTGCGATCAGCTCATGCCTCTACGAGTACATCGACGTGGAAGTCTTGGTCTGCAACTACGACCCGATGTGAGCTGACGCACTCGTTTGTTTCTCTTTCGTTCGGGTGGCGCGCACGTTGAAACCATTTTTTACAATCCACCCGCCATGGCGTGTGACTCGCTTTAGCTACAATGCAGCCACCTTGCCTTTGGCACGGAACAAACGAATGACCTCCCGCCCCTCTCCCCCCTCGAAACTGCAGTGGCGACTACGGGGACCCTGCCGCCATCGAGGAAGAGATTGGACTCCCCGAACAATCGGAGGAGGAATGCCAGCAGGTCGCCCCGCCGGACACGCCTTCGCCCAGGACCACCCCTGCCCCTGCCACCACCACCCCGCCGCCCTCGACTGGGGAAGAGCCTTTCACGACAACAGCTCAACCGCTCCCTGTCACCCTCCCTCCATCCTTCCCCACCTCCCCTCCCGTCTCCGAGACTGACCCGCCTTCACCTGAACCGGAACCATCGACCCGTGCTCCTGTAACGCCCGAATCCACTCTGGCCCCTATTGAGCCCGAGCCTTCCCCGGCCCCTGTTGAGCCCGAGTCGGAGCCCACTCCAGCCCCTGTTTCGCCCGAGCCCGAGCCCGAGCCCGAGCCCGAGCCTTCGCCGGTCCCGGAGACAGACGAAAGCCCTGGCGTTGGTGCATGCGACCCGAACCCTTGCATGAACGGAGGGTCGTGCGAGGTGGACCCCAATGGTGGGTACACCTGCAGCTGCGGGAGCAGCTACGGAGGGATGATGTGCGAGACCGACGTTACAGGTGAGAGGGATATCTGGTCTGGTTGGGCACCAATAATCGACCAACAAGGAAAGGATTGTGATTTCTCCAACACTTGCTGTTGGTTGTATTCGCTCAATGTCTGTACTCTGTAGACAATCACGTGGTGGTTTGGGGAATAATTTCGTTTTGGTAGGAACGCGAGGAGCCGTGTGAATCGTGTTTCAGGAATTCAGGACACGCCACCGAGTGCACACTGCATGCAATCGCGACGTGGTGCACCGGGACATCCTCCGGGATAGATAGTAGCGCTAGCCGTCGCATACCCGTTTTGTTGTCCGAAACTTGACAACGCGTGCCGCCTACTTGCTGTTTTCAGGCATGTCTGAGTTCTTCATCACGGTGGACTTCCTCGGATCGTGGACTGACGAACGCAAGGGCGTCTTCCAAAGCGCAGCTAACAGGTAAGGCTGGCACTCAGTCTCGTCGAGCTCAGCCTTTCGCCTGGCACAAGTTCTGTAGAGCATGTGTTTGCTCACGTCCGTGTTTTCATGCGCCCGGTGTGAATCTATCGCTGCACCTTCCCCCGACCCTTCCTGTTTGCCCAAAACACCCGATGAGATAGGTGGTCGGAGGTCTTGACGCACATCCCGTGCTCCGGAACCAACGGCAACGGGGGTGCCGCGGGCGAGCTCACCATCACCTCCACTCTTGAAACTATCGACGGTGTCTACGGAACCCTGGGCTTCGCCGGGCCTCGCGGCACCTACAGTGACTGCCGTGGCATCAGCTACTCGGGAGAGATGTGAGTGTGATTGTAGTTGGACCCTGCATTGAATGATAGTAGTTGGACCCTGCATTGAATGTTGTTGATTTACAAGTTGGGAAGAGTTTGTCCGCTTGATGCACACGACTTGGAGCTGGCTGTCCACTCTTATAACATCGCCTGCACGCAGAAAGCAAGGCTCTCTTTCTGTGTTCGGATCCGTCTCTTTTTACCACGGTGTGGTCGTTGTCTTCACAGCCTGTTAACCGTTTACATGCTCTCGGTATCCACCGTCAGGACCTTTGACATCGACGACATCGCTGAGATGGAGAGGCAGGGAACCTTCGAAGGTGTCATCCTCCACGAGATGGGCCACGTCATCGGCACTGGGTGAGTTGACATCCTTGCAGGGGGACGCGATTACTTGATTCGTTTGTTCCCGCAATTGTATATGTTGAACCAGAGCCAGATGGGTTTGCTTGGCACGCCTACCCTCATGCGAGTGTTGTGAAGGATTCGGCCCATATCTTGCGAGGTTGCCGCTCGGGCGTCTACAGCGCTTGCGGGTTGTGGATGGACTCTGATTATCTATATCCCTAGTCACTCATTGAGGTCCGAATTTGCTCCCCCTGTGTTTCGTGACGTTTGCCACCAGTACCCTGTGGGGTGAGTGTTCCGATTGTGACAGCACCGGCAGCGCGGAATGGAAGTGCCCCCTGGCTGCCCAGGTGTACAACGACTTCATGGGAAACCCTGCTGGTTCCCGGGCCGACATCATTGAGCTCGAAGGCGGAGCCGGTGAGCTTAATGAAAGACTGCATGGCATCGTGCATTGTTTGCAATGATCCATGGTTCGCACATACGTTCGTGTGGGGGGGGATGCTGCTGCTTGTGATGTAGTCGAGGTTGAGATGGCGTATTGCTCGTGTTGGACACCCGATGGTATTCGCCCCTGTAACCTATTCTCCTCACTTACCGGCATGTTGTGAAGCTTGCCGCAGAACATACGCTCTTTAACGATCAGAGTGCGTGTGTGGCCTTCGTACGGTTCACAATTCTTAGGTACAAGCTGCGGACACTTCAGCGAATCGGCTTTCGAAGATGAACTTATGACTGGCTACGTCAATGCGGTAAGTCATCCAGTCGTGATGCTAGTGTCCCCTCCCCTGGCATGTGCGTGGAAATGACACCGATTCTAGCTATTGGCAGTTTATGGCTACGCCCGACCCGGCGATCAACTGATGTGTCAACTACGTACCTGTGGACGCAATGAATTCGTAAGAAAAATCGGTGGGATTGATAACATTGGTTCGGTCTTTTACACGAGATGAACAGAGGGACATTCATGCACAGAACAAGCTGGCACCACCATTCGTGTGAAACGAACGTGACGTCGACCTGGTTCTGTCAATTGTCTCCACGCACACCGTCTTCTCGTGGATCCGGCAGGGCCAGATGCCGCTTTCAAAGCTGACGTGCGCATCTCTGGCCGATCGAGGCTACGTCGTCCAACCGGCCAAGGTAAGAGAATTCAGAGCCTCTTCCACTAGGAGCTCATCTCCGTTCTTTCGGCTATCTCCCACGCCGCGCCTACCCGTTCACTATTGAGTACCAGGCAACCGCTCCAGTTGGTGTGGTCTAGGCACTTCCTACCCGTGTCGTGTTTGAAGCGACAAAACACCAATTTCCGTGATCACAGGCTCGACGAAATTCGGTAATGTACATCGCAAATCATTCGGAAGTACAGTAGGTCAAGTCGTTCGGCCGGAAGTGAACGGTGTCCAGCAATCGTTCACCTGCCTGTCGCTTGGCGCCACGGGTCCGATGCGAGGGGGGGGGCAACTCTGGCAGAACTAACCGCGATAGGTCCATCTGGGTGCCCCAGAGCTGGTGTTTGACCCGTCGTTCCTACTCACTCATTGGTTTAAGTTGTGCGTGCTTCGGATGGGTTCGTTCCCGGATTGCTGTTTGTCCTGGGACTGTGGGCTAACCCGTCCTTGCGCACGGTTTTCTACGCGTGTGTGACCTGGTTTTGGTTCGCGCAACAGGCGGACTCGTACACCATTCCGTCCCGTCGGGACCCCTCCGCCCGCCAGGGCAAGACGAAGACATACAAGCTTGCGGAGAGCACCGACGACACGACCATCGACGTTTGCAACGAGGACGGAGAGATAATCGACACTGTTCAAGGGAAGAGGATCCGATTCTGATCCGGACGCTTGCAAGAGGAAGCACACTACGCTCCCCGATGTGCTGCAATTTCGCTGCTCCGCTATTGATGTCGTTCATGAGCGTCCAGAGAACATGATGCTCTTCGCGTGCTGATGTCGGGGACCGTTAGCATGCAGTAGTTTTCTGGCAAGAACCCACACAAATGATCGCATGCTGTCCCATTTGGTTCATGTTTACCGTGTTTTTTAGCTACGGCACACATAGACCCTATATAACATGCCATTGTTTAGAAAGTTGCCCAACCCTGAGGTGATGTGCCCTACTGTTTACTTTTCGAGGATTTCAGGCCTTCGTTCAGCTCCTCGTCGATATCGTCTGTACTACCTCCGTGACTCTCGCCCAACTTGTGTTGCATGCAGCTTTTCTGCGAGGTAACCTCTCAAGTGTAGACTATGCTTTTGAACCAGTATCATCCCCTTCTTTTTGAAAGTGTTGTACCTTGTTGATCCTTTGGGAAATGACGGAAGGGGTTTGTAAATATGATTGTATTTTTTTGCACGGGTTGCAGGTGCTCGTGAGGAGAGTATCCGACACCCACTTGCCGCACGTACTCAAGTGTGTCGTTGTGCGGTGTAAGGTGGATTGGATTGTTTCCCGAGGCAATGAACCGGCATAAATGGCTGTGCGGGTCCGGGAAACACAAGGTCGAACTATCTTGTGTATTCGCCGGTCTCTTTTCTCATTTGGATTCGTAGTTCACTCTGACGATCGAAGTGTTGCAAAAGGATCGGACGAGAAAGAATGTGAGTTGACTCAATATATCGCGCGGAAAGTGAAGGCAGTCGTCCAGCAGCGCAAACTTTTTCAACTTAATTGTTTGATGCGTGCGCTGTTGTTTTTGCTATTTCGGTGAAATTGAGAAAGCCGGTGTTGCTTGTGGAACCGAGCATACTGGCCGGAAAGAGTAAGGCAACGCAATGATGAGTGATTCAATGTATGAATCTGTATCCTGAGAAAAGAGCGAGTGTTGTTGCCGAAATCGTTTGGGCATTCATATTCAAGCATGGATTTTATTCACTTTCCATGCTCAACTCACTCTCATCACAATTATGCCATTTGTATCATCTGGGTTTTGGCATGATTTCAGCCTTGTTCGCAAATGCAGAGTTTCGTGCTTCAAGATTAACCTTCTGCTTTACAATATCTGATCTGATCATGTTCCCACTTTCACTCTCGTCTTGTTCAAGAGCATGCATAGTTTGGCTGTCTCTTTAAAATATCATCAAACCCCGACACTGTTTTGTGTGTATACATGTTCTCGGGCCGTGCGAGCAAACGGGGGCAACGTGCTGGAAGAAGCAGACCGATGTAACACAGCGGTGCGTTTGTGTTCGCCTCTACATTTTTACCTGCTTGACTGACTGACAACGAAAACACGGCATCTACAGTACTTCATTCCTTCATTCTGTATGGCGCGATACGTGTAATGAGAAAACACAGGCGGCCAAATAGCACGTGACTCTCTCTTGAAGCATCGTTTCTTTTTTTTCGGTGGTTTCGAGGTTGGATGTTGCGTTCACTGCCCAGAAATAATAGTTATCTCTCTTGCAGTTTGTGTGTGGCCAAATAATATTTGGCTCTGGTTTTCTGATACGATGGTTGGAGGTGACGGCACACACGTGAAATTTGGCTGAATGAAGTTTGCCTGCAGAAGACCTGAAGAAAGAACATTCGACCCCGCATTAAGAACGCTCGCGTTTGGGAATTCCCCAGCTAAAAGGAAGCTTGTTGGGCTGTGAACACCGGGGGCCCGGCAGAATACAAGGAAACGGCGTACCCTTCTTTTTCTGCCGCGTACCCCCCTTCTATGTCCTGCGGGACTGCGGGCCGCTCGTTGCACGAACCACGCACCACAGTGAGTGCAGTAGTAGCGGTGCACAGACAGCAGAAGTAGCGAGCGGTCTGCTGCTGCAGCTGCAACTGGGTGTTGATATGGGTAGATTCCTCCCATCTACCAGCGGTCCATCTGATACCGCCAATATAGAAGAGCCGTGCATAGGCTAATATCGTCGTCCCTCACCGAGGGCGAGGTTATCTCTCGCTTGGAGGACGTTCTATCCTACAGATAGCGCCCTCAATTAAGAAACGTCGAAATCGGTTCGAGCCTCACCAATGCCTTCTTTTGGGTCGAAGTACCTGCCCAAGTCGTCCATTTCGTAAATGGCATTTATTTCTTCTTCCTTTGGATTGTCGCATCCTCCTCCCGATTCTCTTATTCCTTAGACTAGTCTATAGACTACAACAACAAGTACTTCGTATTTTCATTTTTTCTGTCTTTTGATCCCTGAGGACAATCCACACCATCAAGCCTTCAAGAGAGGTGGTGGAGAGTGCCATCAAACCCGTACAACAGCGGAGAGCATAGTCTATGGATGGTTGTCCGCGATGTGTGGCAGTACTACAGTAAGTACAGGAGCAGCAGGGGCGCGGGGACTCTGCCCCCTACAAAATAAAATGCACTTCTCGTCTTCATTCAGCTTGGGAAGGGGCTGGGAGCCTGATGTCATTGGGGTATCGCACCATCACGTTTCTTATTATTTTTGGGGCGTTTCCTACGTTGTGGTCGTGATTGAGTATGTTTCTTAGCCCTTTTTCTTATTTCTCGTTCAAAATTGAGCCTCTTTGCGTAACAGATTTTCCTTAACTGCGGGCGCACGATTAGTTTGTGCTTACGCGAAGGAAGGGAAGGAAGGGTTGGCGAGTACCGTGAGACGCAGTACCTACCTTCTTTCGGAGACCGTTCATTCGTTCACTCATGAAACTCAACAGAGTCGTAGAGCCAAGCCGCGGGGGGAAATTCAGGGAACTCTTCGTGATATATGTGTGGAAGAATAAGCCATCAGGGTAGCTTGTGGTCTCCGCCGGGACAGTGATATGTACACGTGTGCGTCGGTGCGACGATGAGTGAAATACGCTCGTTTTATTTTTGTTTCACAAGAATGAGATCAATATATGTCTACTTGGACTTTCCTTCCTCATTATTAGTTGGCCATATCGCGAAAAGTAGAATATTTTTTGTGAACAGAAGGAAACAATAACAACGAACATCTTGTAGTCGATATATAGCGGTGATGATGATTGACGATTGATACCGTGTGGTTCCACATTTATTTGATACTTCAAACAATATTTTTGATTTTCCTCGATAACGACTACTGATACGGCAGTATCACAACGAATGAATCTATGAGTGAATCATCCATCAATCGATAACGACGATGATTGACAACGATGCAGTGTTCCTGTATACAAAAATACATGTGATGCTTCTGGATTCGCATATATAGACTGTACAGTATATCACACACGACGAACCAATGAATCCATCAGCGAATCATTCATCCATCGATGATGAGATGATATTTTCAAACCATTTTCATTCTAGAAAGAAAAGAAAAATGGGTGATCTCAACAGGAACGGCGAACGACCCGGTAAACAGGAAAGAAACAGCGCGGAAGTTGATGGAACTTGGTGAGGAGCGATGATTTGCGGTGCCCGAACGAAGCATAGTCGAGATAGATGTCGCGAGTCGTGCGCCATACCAAAAGATGTATTGTATTGCATGGCCGGGTAATGGTGGGGGTTTCGGAATAACCGCGTCCTGCGACAAAATATTGTTTCCATCGGAGAGAACGAATGAAGCTTACAGCTTCAGGGATATGCAGCGTGGGCTATCGTCAGCTGGTTTGGTAGCAAAAATAGCGCATTCAATTCGCGGTAGGTTGACTCTATTCTTGCAGGCGGGAATAAGATGTGCCTTGCCTTGGACGAACGGAATGAATTCCATTTTCCAGGGGTGTACCCGTATCCAGAATATTTTCCTTCCCGAAACAGAAGGCGCCACGAATGGCCCCACAGGGATTCGAACCGCGTTGCGCTCTTGATGGACATACCCTACAGTCAGCGCTGGCTGTACGGTGGACATACATGCTGCACATCTACACACGAAGTGTGCGTGGGCGATGCGTGCCACCAGATTCACTCCCCTTTGAGAGATGACTTCGTTTTGTGCGATACGATTTTACCCTCTGCACAAAAATGGTCGCAATCCAGGTCACTGCCCCTCCCAATTGATTTCATCCAGTCGGCGAGTGGGTGCTGCCACATGGTCCCAGGGATGTGCTTCATTTTTATGTGATCTGCTGAGTAGTGTGTTCCCGATACCCGCTCGGGTTTCGGTGCAAACAAATGTACATACCCCAGGGTAGAGCCCCGATATCCGAGAGCCCCTAGCGAGGCGTCCGTCCAGTGTTCTGACGCGTTTTAGAAGCTTCAGCTCCTGCCCCGGACTTGCCCTACACGGGTGTGTTGATCAAGTACCTCCTGGGGTCTAGTGTTCACAGTGTTGTAAAAGGTTTCGGACTGAAGGGAGAAACCTTAGGAGATTCCTCGGAAGAAAACAGATTGCCATCCTTTTCTTTCTTAATTGTCTTACGTCACACGAACACCACTGCCGCCCCCGAACAAGCAACATTTTTCCGAATACCAAGAACTTAGAATGTACATAACTCAGAAATCGACGACTGTACTAACCCTACTGTTCCGGAGTTGACTTAAGAACGAACAACATGTCCTGCACGGACTTCAACTCTTCCCGGTCAGGATCCCCGACTCAATGAAAACAGCAACAACGGCGCACGCACTATTAACACGTGAGTTGACGACCTTTGCACTCTTGTTTCCCGATTCTATCGCAGCATTTCATACATTCATCAGCGTGCGTTTCGAAAGCAAACGGGAGGTGATAGCCACGAAAGTGCGCCAAGAGTATACTCCTTCGCCTTACGAGTGAAAGTGCGCTTTCGAAAACGCACCACGCTTCTTCTGCCGGTTCATCCACCGGGACCAAACCGTAAACAACACGGCGCCATTTAACACACAACGACATGGTGATGGGCACCTTGCTTACGTACGGGATTGGGACAACGGCTATATTCCTCCCGAGCTACAGCAACCCGTGTAAAAAGCCAAACACATTCACACGATACCTGTCCATCACACAAAGGATGGACAAAGGTGCAACATCTACGAGTTGGAGACGGCACTGGTTCGCGCATCAAAAGTATGCACGTCTGAGGGTTTATCCAGGGTAGCTAAACAGCAACAGAAAGGGCATTGGGCGAGACTTCCACAGCAAAAGGTAGAAAAGCCATCGACGAGTAGCTGATCTTTCGGGTCCGCAGAAACGACCAGCAACCGACGGAGGCGAAAACGGCTCGACACCTCTGCAACAGTAAACCGCATGGTACATTCCCAAGTGTTGGGCTAAAAAATTGCATGTGTCCAAGTGTGCCGAAGCTAACAACAAAAACTACTAAAGCGAAATGGGAAACAAGCGATGATACGTGTTTTTGCGGTGGAGCAAGCCCACGCTAGTTTGTAGCTATATATTCTTAACAATCCTGAACACGGCAAATGACGCATCATGTTCATGTTCTCTGCACGCTCGTGAACTGCAGCAGCGCCTTGAAAGTAGTAGCGAAATCGCACCACATCTTGGGGCGCAGCGGTGTTCCTCTTGCTAGCAGTCGGTCGGATCAGAAGCGGATCCGCTTCCCTTGAATGGTGTCGACGATCTCGCCCTCCTCGTTGCAAACGTCAATAGTCGTGTCGTCGGTGCTCTCCGCGAGCTTGTATGTCTTGGTCTCCCCTTGGCGGGCAGAGGGGTCCCGACGGGACGGAACGGTGTACGAGTCCGCCTGTTGGGCGAACAATAACCAGATCACACGCGGAGAAATCCGAGCGCGAGGGCGGGTTGTGTTGGTGCACGATAGAGTGAACATCCCACCACGTTGCGCATTCACACCGTTCAGGCCTGTATAGGAGATTACGCCCTTCACCGCAACGAAGAGATTGGCTGAGACCACCGTGGACGTCGGGCTGGTTTGCGCACTGTTCACTTCGGCTTTGGTGATGCACATGGCAAAGTTCCACTGAGTCGTGACTTTGGGCTGTGGTCGGATAATAGGAGAACTTGACGACCTATCCGAGCGGTTTTCTGGTGTTAAATGATGAATGCTCTTGCGTAGGCGTTCGCAAAGAATATTTTGAAGTAGAACTTCACACGGCATGGGGAATATTTTCGAAATGAGGCAAGCTGGGAATGGTAGAGGCCTCCATTTTATTACCTTCGACGATTGGACGACGTAGCCTTGATCAGCCAGAGAAGCGCACGTTAGCTTCGAAAGCGGCATCGTACCCTGGGGTATCCAGGAGAAGACGGGCGTTTGCGGAAACGAGGACAGAGAAGTCAAAATCAAGAGCTTGTTCCACGCCGCTGGTGGTGACATCTCATCGCTGTTTGGACGGCGTGCTTGCGCTCATACTCGCTTCCGCTGACAAATTCGATCAACAGTTTCAATCTAAATCAATTATTCATTTCAAGAGAACACAAAAATAAGGCACTCTTTCCGTTCACAAGTGTCTTGCGGGAGCGAATGACAGATCGAAATCATGGTCGGGTCCGTGCGTAACCGTGACCAGCCAATATCGTGAAGAGGGGCGTCATTTCCACGCCCGTGGCAAGGGAGGGGACACCATCGTGACGATTTGACAGCGTACCGCATTGACGAAGCCAGTCATGAGTTCATCTTCAAACGTGGATTCGCTGAAGTGTCCGCAGCTTGTACCTGAGAAAGAATGGCGAACCGTGACGGAGGTGACGCACCAGTTTTTTTAGTCAGCCGACGTACACTCGAGCGCGAAAACACCAGCGGCTAGCTTCATCATGTAGCCTTTTGAGCGGAATACAAGGTCCAGATGGATGACGGGCCCATGATCGACAGAATATTCGTGATAGGCTTTTTCAACCCTGTGCCATTGCACAAGCAGCTGCAACCACGGAAGTTTGATAAACGTCATGATCCGGTTACACCTTTGACCAACAGATCCTAGGCAAATGGCGGTGCACAATAGCAGAGTTGCTTGTACTGTTTCTTTGCCCCGCATGCAGTCTTTCATTAAGCTCACCGGCTCCGCCTTCGAGCTCAATGATGTCGGCCCGGGAACCAGCAGGGTTTCCCATGAAGTCGTTGTACACCTGGGCAGCCAGGGGGCACTTCCATTCCGCGCTGCCGGTGCTGTCACAATCGGAACACTCACCCCACAGGGTACTGGTGGCAAACGTCACGAAACACAGGGGGAGCAAATTCGGACCTCAATGAGTGACTAGGGATATAGATAATCAGAGTCCATCCACAACCCGCAAGCGCTGTAGACGCCCGAGCGGCAACCTCGCAAGATATGGGCCGAATCCTTCACAACACTCGCATGAGGGTAGGCGTGCCAAGCAAACCCATCTGGCTCTGGTTCAACATATACAATTGCGGGAACAAACGAATCAAGTAATCGCGTCCCCCTGCAAGGATGTCAACTCACCCAGTGCCGATGACGTGGCCCATCTCGTGGAGGATGACACCTTCGAAGGTTCCCTGCCTCTCCATCTCAGCGATGTCGTCGATGTCAAAGGTCCTGACGGTGGATACCGAGAGCATGTAAACGGTTAACAGGCTGTGAAGACAACGACCACACCGTGGTAAAAAGAGACGGATCCGAACACAGAAAGAGAGCCTTGCTTTCTGCGTGCAGGCGATGTTATAAGAGTGGACAGCCAGCTCCAAGTCGTGTGCATCAAGCGGACAAACTCTTCCCAACTTGTAAATCAACAACATTCAATGCAGGGTCCAACTACTATCATTCAATGCAGGGTCCAACTACAATCACACTCACATCTCTCCCGAGTAGCTGATGCCACGGCAGTCACTGTAGGTGCCGCGAGGCCCGGCGAAGCCCAGGGTTCCGTAGACACCGTCGATAGTTTCAAGAGTGGAGGTGATGGTGAGCTCGCCCGCGGCACCCCCGTTGCCGTTGGTTCCGGAGCACGGGATGTGCGTCAAGACCTCCGACCACCTATCTCATCGGGTGTTTTGGGCAAACAGGAAGGGTCGGGGGAAGGTGCAGCGATAGATTCACACCGGGCGCATGAAAACACGGACGTGAGCAAACACATGCTCTACAGAACTTGTGCCAGGCGAAAGGCTGAGCTCGACGAGACTGAGTGCCAGCCTTACCTGTTAGCTGCGCTTTGGAAGACGCCCTTGCGTTCGTCAGTCCACGATCCGAGGAAGTCCACCGTGATGAAGAACTCAGACATGCCTGAAAACAGCAAGTAGGCGGCACGCGTTGTCAAGTTTCGGACAACAAAACGGGTATGCGACGGCTAGCGCTACTATCTATCCCGGAGGATGTCCCGGTGCACCACGTCGCGATTGCATGCAGTGTGCACTCGGTGGCGTGTCCTGAATTCCTGAAACACGATTCACACGGCTCCTCGCGTTCCTACCAAAACGAAATTATTCCCCAAACCACCACGTGATTGTCTACAGAGTACAGACATTGAGCGAATACAACCAACAGCAAGTGTTGGAGAAATCACAATCCTTTCCTTGTTGGTCGATTATTGGTGCCCAACCAGACCAGATATCCCTCTCACCTGTAACGTCGGTCTCGCACATCATCCCTCCGTAGCTGCTCCCGCAGCTGCAGGTGTACCCACCATTGGGGTCCACCTCGCACGACCCTCCGTTCATGCAAGGGTTCGGGTCGCATGCACCAACGCCAGGGCTTTCGTCTGTCTCCGGGACCGGCGAAGGCTCGGGCTCGGGCTCGGGCTCGGGCTCGGGCGAAACAGGGGCTGGAGTGGGCTCCGACTCGGGCTCAACAGGGGCCGGGGAAGGCTCGGGCTCAATAGGGGCCAGAGTGGATTCGGGCGTTACAGGAGCACGGGTCGATGGTTCCGGTTCAGGTGAAGGCGGGTCAGTCTCGGAGACGGGAGGGGAGGTGGGGAAGGATGGAGGGAGGGTGACAGGGAGCGGTTGAGCTGTTGTCGTGAAAGGCTCTTCCCCAGTCGAGGGCGGCGGGGTGGTGGTGGCAGGGGCAGGGGTGGTCCTGGGCGAAGGCGTGTCCGGCGGGGCGACCTGCTGGCATTCCTCCTCCGATTGTTCGGGGAGTCCAATCTCTTCCTCGATGGCGGCAGGGTCCCCGTAGTCGCCACTGCAGTTTCGAGGGGGGAGAGGGGCGGGAGGTCATTCGTTTGTTCCGTGCCAAAGGCAAGGTGGCTGCATTGTAGCTAAAGCGAGTCACACGCCATGGCGGGTGGATTGTAAAAAATGGTTTCAACGTGCGCGCCACCCGAACGAAAGAGAAACAAACGAGTGCGTCAGCTCACATCGGGTCGTAGTTGCAGACCAAGACTTCCACGTCGATGTACTCGTAGACGCACGACCTGATCGCACATCCGAGTTTGGTTGTAGACGCCCACAGCATGCGCCTAGCACGAATGTCGTAGTCGACTACCGGACCGTCGTCGACTGCATAGTCGTCTGCCGGGGTTGGAAGTCACAGACGAAATATGCGAAGCACCGCAGAGAAAGCAAACAGTTGGGGAGACGTATTTTGTCAGCAAGGCCGTTGTTGTGGTAGACCTCCAAGTGTACATCGGTGCGGAATCAATCGCGTCCAACTCCAGAGGTGAATTTTGAAACGACAAATAAATAGTGCTCGAAAACAGAAAACGGCTGGGGGGGGCAGGCGGGAGAGCTTTCTCAAACCGAAATCGCCGGGAACAGCAAGTGTTGAAATGGGATGATGCATCTCGTTATTCACGTTTTCGTTTCTTCCCATGCTTTGGAACTCCGCGTAGTTTTCGTTCGAAACGCAAGATCGATCCAAAAATTGCAAGACGGCCGCAGTGGCAGGTTGCATCGACGCCAACCACCGCTCGATTTCTCCCTTCCGGCAAAAACGTCACGGCACTCACACATTGTGTCCAGCACTCCGTCGTACATCATGCAGTCAGCCGCGCCGTAGCACAGGTACAGGTTTTCGCCATAACCGTGCGCTGTCACGTCGCTCCAGAACAAATAGCCACAGTTTTCCTGCGAGGTGAGCTCCTCTGCGTGACCCTGTGGGGTTGGGTGGAGGAAACAACCGGCAAAATGTTCGCGAAATGGAATGGGATTCAGTGTGAATGCGGCGAGGGCTCCTTGGCCATAAATGCATATGAGAACGGAAATACGATGATGAGAAAGTTGGCGTGTGTCCAAAAGACTACATAGCTGGCAGCTACCCTTCATATCTAACGCCGACGTGATGGAATGTGCTTGCTCCCGAGCGGTAGCGATGTTGGACTTACCCTGGCAGTCTCCTCCATGGTTTCGTCCCATGCCAAGGGCTCCGCGCCGTGCACGCACCTGTCGTCGTCAGCACGGGTGGTGCGTCGTCGGGTTCAGATAAAAGGAAGAAAGCATTTGGTCGAGACGTTCTGAGTGGGGACAAGCTTCCACTAGACAGGACACTGCAGGTAGTCTACATGACCGACATCGAGAGAGCCGGGTCCACATGTTGCCGGAAGACACGCGGGGGGGGCGGATACGCTGTGAAAAGGGATTAAACCATCCCATAACGACGTTCCCGACACACCTCGATTTGATCGAGGTGCGTCGAAGCACTCCACACAGTATTCGTAAATCTGATCCGACATTCGCGACTTACTGCCGCCTTAGTGGTCGTAACAGCTACACGTGCCGATCAAGCGACGACACCTGCTTCGATTTGCCGTGATGTTCACGTGCGAACGCACAGCACACTGGGTCAATTTCGATAGTACAACTTTTTGCAACAAAAAACATGCCATCATTTGGTTTGACTGGGCCTGACGGTGTGTCTCATCGCCACAATCGAAACTAAAAATCATAATCGAGTTTCAGTTTTAAGTCTAGAAAGAGCCAGCCAAATTCGACCTTCAAGTCTTATCGAAAAATCAGCAAAATTGAGGTTCAAATCGAGAACACGCCCGAACGGACGCCGAACAGCCCAACAGTCCCGACAAGCGGCGTGGGCGACTGCGGGCGACGGTTTGTCCTTTTGCACAGCACTCGCCCAATCATGGCTCGCCTCCTCCCCGCCGTACGGGCAGCCGTTCGTGGCAGCGAGGGAAAACGAAGAAGCGTATGAGGCAGCTCCAGGAGCTGGAGATGTACCCCAACGTACCGATGGCACGGGTGGCACATGAATCCCGACTCAATCGCTCGGCGCATGCCCTTGGCAAATCGGCAACAAGTTGAACCTGCCGTCGCCGTTCGACTTCTGTGACATTATCTTTCTGCTTGCTTGGTGGGCGTGCGTGGTGTAGCATGTGCAATCCGGGCGCACGTGGGCGCGCAGCGTGCGAGATGAAACACGTCAACCGCCGCAGCACGCTCCCAACAGCCCAACGTCCACCCGAAGTTGGTTGCGTTTGGCAAAAGTCGACTACAAATTTATCATCTGGCCATTTTTTCGAGATCAAGTTTAGACTAAGAACAGGAAGATCCGTTCGCTTATTGTCCCGAAAGAACGCATTCCAACCAATCAGAGCAGATGGACGCTGGCTCTTTCTAGTCTCAAACTGAGGCTCGATTCTGATTATTAACTTCGATTCTGCCGGTAAGACACACTCTGACCTAGCCTCGTTGTGAAGGTCGAGCAAGACCTGCTTCTCGGAAGAGTCGTCGACATTATCTCCGGCAGCTGCCGGCTCAGTCTCTCCGATGTAGTAGAGATCGAAGGACCAAAACCCTCCTGTTTGTTTCGGATGCATCGATACCGATCGGCGGTCAATTTTGAAGTGACCATTACATGCATATTTAGTAGGGGTTTACGCAAGTCATGCCGAATCCGAAAGGATTCCGTTGGTTGTGGCAGGGATCATCGGTGATGCCATTGTTGCTGCTGTATACTGAAGTCAGAAATACCGAAATACCCCGATGCACTGTTGAAGCAGCCACGTCAGTTCCTGCACGAGTTGAAATGCATCCTCCGCCAAACAGTCGTACGTTGGAACAAGGAGGGTTTGGACGTGTTGGGAGCGTAGCAGTTTGAAACGCACCGCAAACAAGGTTGTCGTCGCCTTTGCAAGGGTGGTCGCAAGTGCCCAGTCCGTACTGCACGTGCCGTTTCTCGTCCTCTTCGGTCCCGCAGTAGCATTCGCGTCCATGTTGCAGGCCCATGAAGTCGTAGCCGTTGCTGGAGCAGTACTCGTAGCACAACTGCACGGCAGAAGAGTTAAGTTCCGGCGTCATTATATCTGTGCTTGATACACAGCAACACTGCCCGTCGGCGGTCAACAGCAATTGCATACACCATGCACCTTGTTGTGAAAAGTAGAGGCGTCAAACAACGGCTGTACAACAGCAGTGTGTACACCGCCAAATGCAACCAGCTCCTGTGTGTCCGGGATAATGTTGTCTACAGCAGGAAACGCCTACTCCGCAGTAGTTCCACTTTCGGATAACACATCGTGCAGCGACTGCTGTGTTTGTCTCGCAACCTGAGTTGATATGTCAAGTGTGCGGGAGTAGAAAAGGCAGGGTAACCTGTGTGTGGGTTACATGGATATTAGACACAAGATAACACACCCCCTGGAACAAAATTTTCAAAGCTCGATTTCTAACAGCAGAAAGAGTCACAGCGCCGAAAACGGTGGCGTGGAAGTCGTCTCGTCGTGGCGAAATCGAGCATTGAAAATCGGTTCAGGGGGTGTGTTACCTTAGGTCGGATGTATACGGTAGGTGGTGGGGTAGTGGTGCTTGGTGGTTCCTTTGTACGTGGCACGTTTCTGGACTACAGGTGCGGCGCAGAGCGTGTGAGGTGTGAGAGGATGGCTAAGCTCCATGGCCAGACTCTCAGGATGCCTGCTTCTCACTCAGTCTTTCAATTATTCTCTCTTTCCGCCTTCAAAATCGGGCACGCTACTGCTTTACACACGCACGTTCACCGCGGGTTGCGAGCCTCGCATACATGCTTTTTCGCTACGAGCTGCGGACAACCCGGCGAGCTAAGGAAGTCCACAATTCTTCATACACCGCACACCAGCGACCTCAGCACTGCGTCCAACGATTCTATCCACTTACAAGTAGAGTTCAGAACAACGCGGGCTGACATTTCGAGATGCTTGTCAACTGTTCAATCTGACCTCAGAGTAGCAGTACCTTTGGCGAGCACCTACTACAGCACTACATCTAGCGGTCAGCCATCATCATGCGCAACGTCAACAGGACTTATGCTTCTTGAACCCTAGACTCGTATCATAACTCATAGCCCAGCACTCTAGAACGACATAAGGCTGTCTTGCTCTCAGGTTCTCGGAAATCTAAATCTGTGTGCCCAGGCTGAAATTTGAAGATGCTTGTTACACACACGCAACAGACAATTTCTTTCATATTTCGGATTCCAAGAGCGTTATCTGCACCACTGTGGATGTTCATAAAAGTGTGCAATATGATCAATTTCATGACGCAACCATCTCCTGCTGTAGACGATGCATCCAACAGTTCCAGCGGAGGACGCAAGCTGGCCTAGAGAGCGGCGCGGTCGCCGTTGGCGCAGGCAAGCTAGCGTGCATTGTTGTGTTGTCGCATGTTTCTGCACACTGCTGACACACCAATACGAGCCGTAGACTGTGAAGTATGCAAGAATAGTGCCCATCAGACTTACACGCAGACTTCCAGAGATACGGCAGTGGACTGGCTGTGCAGTTGTGGTGAATGACAGGATAGAGTGCCTGCTCTGTGTGTCACAATCAACGTACAAGATCACTCCCCGCGAGTGGAACGCGAGCTCTCTCTCACGCGTCCAACCTCCATGGCGTGTTTTCCTTCTCACCTCCGGAGTCATATCATTGGATCTGAACCCGTCATCCATGGCTCGGCCCTGCCCCTCGTCCCCATCGTCCGCGTAGCAGTTAATGTACTCGTACGACGATTGGAGTTGACGCTGCTGCTGATATTGCATGAGAGGGAAAGCACAGGGTGGGCGGTGTTTTGGCCCAGAAGGTTATGAGCCTGACGGCAGTTTTGGAACGGATATCTTGTGTATGTGTGTGGGCAAGGGACGAGAAATTTACTTACATGGATGCCAACAGCTTGGCCTTGGCGCGAAGTGGTTCGGATAGCTCCCCGACCAAGCACGGCGGGGAGTAACGTGGCTGCCACCACGGTAGGAAGGTACATCTGCGCATGTAGTACGGCGTAGCGTATTCCGGCGACAGCAGTGAGAGTGGATTGACATCACTTGGCGGCGTGGTGCACGTTCAGATCTTTTCAGCAGGTGGGATCTGCTGCGGCACGAACTGCTCTTCGGATATCGGGCGCCGGATGGTTTGCTGCAGGCACACAACCCTACATACGCTAAGATCGCATCCCAGGATTTCAAGTACGAGGAGAGCAACAGGGTGCATGCAGATGTACTCGCACGCATCCTCTGCGGGAAAAACGAACGATTTTTTTGCAGGCGAATTTTGCTGGGTCTCTCGCATCTAACGGCTGCATGCAGACACGTAGTCTAATAGATGGCGCTAAAGGCGTATTTGCGGCCTATGGACTGTACCACAATCACTCGTCTTCAGCTGCTCTCATCACGACGTGCAATTCGCTATTTACCGAAGGAGGCTAAAGGCTCACCTTGATCGCTGGCTACGAGCTCCCTAGACGTGAGGGAGGACGTTGGATCGTGTTGCGTGCATGAGTGGGAGGTGGACGAACAGAGCGCCGCGTGCCTGGCTCTTTGCTTGGGCTACTTGCTATTCTGTTCCCGTTTTGGACGTTATTGTTTTGTTCGTTGAGTCAGGGGATGGGCAGTTTTTCTCCCGTTCGCAGGCTGCGAAGTACAGATGTACAAAACCAGCGCGCAGACTGGGCACAACATTTTGATCCGAATATCCGAATGCTCAACAGGTATGCAATTAACCAAAACGACCCTCATCACAACCAAAAAGTAGAGTTCAATATATGGGTAGAAATGTCATGTACTGGTAAGGTTTGTCATAAACGGAACAGCGGTGCGAGGGCTCGTGGCCCGATTATAGTAGCTCAAAAACCCAATCGTTCATAGAGCCGTGTTAAAACATGTCTCATGCGCTCAACGAGATTTCACCGGCGTCCAGAACAAGAAGGGTTTTCTTGAAGTACAACAGTAGTTGCGAGTGATGAGAGAGACAGAGACGTAACGGTGGTACCTGGCGGACCACCCTTGGGTCTGCACGCCAAAAGAAAAATAAGTCGAAGCCGTCGTATAGTATGGCTCATGGTTCGCCGCAGGTGGGGGGCAAGGAACGACAATAATATGGTGTTTGCGAACATCGGAATTCGATTTGATTTCGATCTTTTTTATCCACCCGAGCGCCGAAGACCGCTGGATCTTTAGGAAATTGATCTTTCGCTTTTACGAATTGCCCTCAAAGACCGCAGAAAAGATGGAATTCTTGCTTCCATCTATCTTTTTGGGAACAGTTTCTGGTCGGCCTACACTCCCCGAGATACTCCCGACGTTGTCCGGACGCATGCCGCACCAGCCCATGAGGCTAGCTATGCATCCACACCTCGGCCGTGGTACACACTATCATGGCGAGCCAGCTACAGTACCACAAGACAGTTAGACAGTCGTCACTGCACGCCAGACCCGGTGCAATGCATGCTGCCGATATGGTGCATTTGCGCCATTTGAACCGCAGCATACCGTTCTACATGCTCTTGAGTGACACACCAAGCCGGCGTGACGAGGATGACGGCGATGCTGCGAGCGGCAGTGCTGCACAGGCGGAGGCGGAGGTGATGGAGTTAGTTAGGGATGCTTCAAGCGGCGTGGGAGCGTGAGGAGCTGCTGCGCGTGCGTCCTGTGGACCGTGCTCCGGTGATGCGTCTGTCGCGGACAATCGACTCCGTTGATGACTGCGACGCGTATCACTAAACCGCGGGGCAGCGGTAGTAGGAGGAGGAGGTCCTTGGTCTTCGTGCTGTGTGTTCACCGAAACTCTGGCGAGGGGAGCGGCCCTCGCCGGAGGACACGTGTTGCCATGAACACCCGGCAACTGAACCGGGCCAGCCTTCTCATGAGTACGCTGACCTCCATCGTTCTCCATGATTGTTTAGCAGCGGTTGTGAGTGTAATGTGGTGGTAGCCTTGCGGTGGGGGTGGAGGCGGAAGGTCTGATGTACGTCGTGCCGAGCGAGACCAAGTCTGCTGCCGAAGAGAGCCGAAAAGGGGGCTCCGCCGTCGTAAAATATTGCGTTCCTGGAAATTTCTGCGTGATCAAGACCACAAATATTTCACTCGCATCTTCGCAAGGTGTTTTCGAAATCAAATTTTGACCTCATTTTGAACTTCTGGCAACTTCGAAGATGAAATCCCAACACCAGTCAGTCCGCAACCACCCTAATAAATGAAGGTTGTAGTCTAGATTCAACGACCTATTATTCGCCTACTTTTTAAAACACAACAAACAGCAGCAGTGTGTGAGATATTCAACAAGGAGCGCGCCAACAATGTTCCACAGCAGCAACAACATATAGAAACGGCTTCGGGTGCGGGACAGCTACCAGTGTGTGTGGCGGGGACGCGTGTGTAGAAGGACACATGTCCCCGTCAGGTCAAGATCGATTCGGGGAAGATCCAAGCAAAGATTGTGCATATCCTGCACGGGTCGGGCTACACGGGCTTTGCAGCAGCTGAAAACCGCAGGCAGCAGCTGAGGAAACGACAACAAGCACAGTAGGGGGGAAGCAGAGACAGAAACGACAGCACAGACAGCATCGACCGGAGTGCGGTGGTGGCACGTGTGCACAGACACACACACGGTGGTGCCTGTCCCGTCGACGTGCTTGCTTTACGGAAGATCCAAATAGAGTTGATCGGAGATTGTGCGAAAAGTCGGCCTGGAAGGTTTCCGAGGAAGAAGAGTTCAGGCACCGAAAGAGGAAAATCCGCGTGGATAAGCGTGGAGAGATATCTTGGAGAAGGGAAACATCAGAGGTGGCAGTGCAAGGGGCTGGTAGAGGTGAGAGCTTGTTAAAGTCGGTATGGATCCTGATCGATAATTCGGTGGCTCACTTCTTTCTTTATGTTGGGAGTGTAGAGCAGCTGGGCCATGACGGGCCGTGGTAGGGTAGGGACGTGTAGGAAAACGTGTTGTAAAACGTATTGTGAATTCATCGGGGGCGTGCTTCAGCTCGTCAATTGGTCACGGCATGGAGTCACGGGTCACGCTCATCACGCTCAAAGTACCTAATGAATGTCCATGAATCTCCACCATGCCATCACACTCCCAAGGAAAGTATGAAGAAACTTCCTGTTCCTCCGCACT